CACATGAATATGGACCAGATAATGTATTTCCACCGAAAGTAATGGGAGTGGCTGGTCTGTGTGGTCATTGGATAGGGAACTGAGCCTTAAGATGCATGGAAGTAGGTAGAAAAAAGATCCTGGAAAAGAAAGGATTTCTATTTTTTGTACACCAATGAAGCTGGGCAAAAATTTTGCCTTTCCAAAGCTACACACGTCTTCATGATTAGTTGAAAGTTATTAATTGTGCTTGTGATACAGACTCAGGTTAATCACAGTACAACTCAGTTATATGCTTGAGCCTTGTCTTCATTTCAGAGATGTAAAAAAAATAAAAATCTAGTTAGTATCTTGTACTTTGATATGTTTTGCAAACAGGGTTTTAGGAATCTAGCAATGAGGCAAGCATGCTGGCATGTGTGGTTGTGGAAGTTATAATGAATTAATTGCCATTTATTAGTTTGATTAACAATCCTTAAATTAATTGATTTCTACATTGTGGCTAAATGCTAGGGTATATTCAGTTCATATGGTAATTACATGTTTGATACATTGCTGTTTTTAAAGCAACTCAGGTATTAAAACTGCTATGTTTTGGTGAGATGTCTTGGTTAAGAGGAATTTTTCTCATATTAATTTATGCAATAATTAGTTTGTTGTGCCTGTTGCTTGAATCAGACACTGGTCAAAATCATCCTGCAGCTTTTGTCATAGCTGAACCACTCGAATATGGCTTTTTCTTGTCTCTTTACCCCTTTTCATAAGGAATATAGGAAATCAGTTATCTTCCAGACTTATACCCGTTCACCTTAGGCAAATTTAATTCCAAAACTTACAGAAGACTGAGCCTCAGGTTTTTAGGAACGCTTACAGGCACTGTGTTTGTGTATGTTTCGTAACCAAAGACAAAACTATGATGAAAAGGATGATACTAGATTTCCTTTTGAAACTGGCTTTCTAGATGAATGGTTTCATTTAATACATTTACATAGAAACTGATTAAGCTTATTGATAAATCACTTTATAGGAATACTTTTGGAAATGGGCTTCATCTGTGATGTAGTGGAAAGTGATATAGGTGATGTGTGTCACTGTGCACATGTATGAGTTAGCAGAATTGGTGTTAATTTGTCACTGTGCACATGTATGAGTTAGCAGAATTGGTGTTAATTTGTAACTGTAACTTTGTGTGTTTAGCTGTGCAGCTGCAGTGTTTAACTTACAGCAGTAGGCAGGAATAGCTTAGAATTAGAGAACTGTGATTGTTGGAAGGGACCTCTGAAGATCATCTGGTCCAATCTCCCTGCACAAAGTAGGTTCAGCTGCAGTAGATTGCTCAGGCAGAGTTGAACTGGCTTTTGAATATCTCCAGGGTTGGACACTCCATAACCTTGCTGGGCAACCTGTTCCAGTATTCAGTCACTCTTGTGCTATCGTTTTTACTATGTTTAAGCAAAATTTAATGCGTTTTGGTTTGTGCCTGTTGCCACTTATGTTGTCACTGGGCAGCACTGGCAAGAGTCTGTCTCTGTCCTCTTTATATCCACACAAGGATGAGATCACAGAATCAGAGACTTGCTGAGGTTGGAAGGGACCTCTTGAGAACATGTAGCCCAACCCCACCGCTCAAGGAAGGTTGGCTAGAGCAGGTTGAGCAACACTGTGATTGGGCTTTGAGTATCTCCAAGGATGGAGACTCTGCAACATCTCTGAGCTAGCTCTTCCAGTGTTTGACCACCCTTAGAGTGAGAAAGTGTTTTCTGATGTTCAGATGGAATTTCCTGTGTTTCAGTTTGTGCTCATCGCCATTTATCTTGTCACTGGGCATCACTGAAAAAAGCCTATCTCCTTCTTCTTCACTCCACCCCGTTAGGTGTTGATTCACTTAGATAAAAGCCTTCTATTCTCTAGGCTGAACCATCACAGTTCTCTCAGCCTTCCTTCATGAGAGAGATGCTGTGGCCCCTTTATCACCTTAGTGGCCGTTTTCTGGACTCTCTTCCAGCAGCTCTGTGTCTCTCCTGTACTAGGGAGCCCAGAACTGGGCACATCTGGGTGTGTCCTCAGCAATGTAGAATAACAGGGGAGGATCACCTCCCTTGGCATGCTGGCAGCGTTCCTCCTCATGCAGCCCAGGATACCATTAGCCAGTTTTGCTGCACGGGTACATTGCTGGCTTGTGTTCAACTTAATGTTGCCAAAAATCCCCCAGAGCTTTTTCTGCAAAGATGCTTTCTAGCCTGCCAGCCCCCCTCATGTACTTTGTACTCCTCCCCTCACCAGGTGCAGCGCTCTGCACTTGCCCTCGTTGAGTTTCATGAAGTTCCTGTAAACCCATTTCTCCATCCTGTCAAGGTCCCTCTGAATGGCAACACAACCCTCTGGTGTATTAGCTGCTCCTCCCAGTTTTGTATTATCTGCAAATATCACACTGAATTAAGCAGAAATAGTTGCTCTTGTAGGGCTTAGATAAAATTACCTGTCTGAGAGATGTTGAAGTAATGAGACAACTATTCAGTTTTTGGTTAACTGAGCATAATTCCAATGATCAGTTGTTGCAGCATGCCTCCTCTGCCCCGTTAAAGTTAGTGCTTTAGTAATGCTTGACTTGTTTTGGGAATGCTGGACTTGGTACTAGGCAGGTCAGTGAAAACACACTTCTGAAAAGTTCTTCTTTGTCCACTAAAGGAAAGAATATTAGTGATGTCAAAGACAAATTCTTTAGTGGATGCTGAAGTAATTTTCTTTTTTGAAAAAAAAAAACCAAACCCAAAAACCAAACCACACCAAACAACCAAGGAATGAATCAATTGTTCTCTCTGTATCTCTCTCTCTCCTCTCCTTCTTCCCTGCAAGGCCCCCCAAAACTGCAGACACTGTTAGAGAATACTGGAAGAGGTGAAGGAAGGATGTTAATCTCTACGCTATGATGAATGATCATAGGATCATTCTCTATCTCTATGCTATTGATGCTATGATCATAGGATCATTCTCAATCTCTATGCTATGATTGCCCCCTCCCTGGAGGTGTTGAAGGCCAGGCTGGATGAGGCTTTGAGCAACCTGATCTAGTGGAAGGTGTCCCTGCTGAAGGCGGGGGGATTGGAACTAGATGATCTTTAAGGTCCCTTCCAATCCAAACCATTCTATGATTCTATGAAATAACGACTGGGTATCTTGTATTTAGTTAGTGGAATGGATTGAAAGGTGTAAAATAAGTAATGATGAAGGACTATTAAATTTTTTCCCAGTGAAGGAATATCAGAAAGTTTGGTTTTTTAGAGGTGGAGAGTGTGTGTTTGTATGTATATATGTGTATTTCACTGATGTATACTTCTGCTTCTATGGTGAAAGCCTAAAAGCTGATTTTGTACAGAGAAATCAAATATCCTGTTTGATTATATTTCTGGTGTCACTTTACTGTTAGTAATGCATAATAAATAGTAAACATTGTCTACTGCAGTTGGCAGTGAAGGAAAGCATAGCTTCACCTTTGATCGTAAATCCAAGTTTCATTCTCCTGGAACTGGTCATAGTAGCAAGATTATACGTGGAACTTTAATGGATGGGAATAAATGTTGTGTTATATACAAGCCAACTTTTTACTGCTGAGGGAAGTTACCTCACTTGTACATGTTGAGGTATGATTGCCTATATGTACTTGATAATTTGAATGTAAAAGTACGCCCAAATTAAAATGGTACTGATTTTCAGAATAGGAGAGTTGCTGAAGTCCAGTTCCTTTCAGTTCAAACAGGGATGGAAAGTAGTGTAGGGAGGAGAATAGAATGTTACTGAAGATGGGAATGTGGAAAAAAAATCAAATTAAGTACTAAAAATGGAGAGTGGTGTGCTGGGTGAAGTGGAGAGGCAAAATGAGAGGAAAAATAAGAACACAAAAAGCAGGGTAAGTGTTGGAATACTACTAGGAGGGTGAAACATGGAAGATGTAAAGGCATCTTCCACATACAGCTTTCTTGTGCAGTGATTCATACCAAGCTAGAAGGGACATGAAGCTAATGACATTAGTGGCTAATTCATTGACATGCAAGCAAAACTTGCATGTATGACTGTGTGGCATAAAAAACATGGTTGCACGCATTATTGCAGATGGAGAAAATGAGAAATGAGTTAAATTATATACTCAAGAAAGCGAAATTACTAAAAAGCTAGTCACTGTTATTTGTATTCTGGGATGAACTTTTTTGTAAGATTAAGGAAGAATTTTTTGAACAGTAGGTGGCAAATGGTGATGTATAGTTGGAAATTGTAACACCTGCTGAAGCTAAAATAAATCTTACCAGTTGCCTAAAGATCAGTCCTTTCATGAGTACCGTATCTGTGTGGGAAACGGAAACATAACTTTGTTTTTAGCCATCCTCAATATAGAAATGGAAATGAGAGTTAATGCTGTTTGTCTTTATGTGTATCACTTGCATACTTTGTTTCTGTTGAAGACGTTTCAGAGAATGAAGGGTAATACAGTCCTGTTTATAAACTGCTGATGTGGGAGTTAGGAAATCCAGGTGCTCTTTCTCTCTGTTTGCAGTGTGAATGGGAAGTGAGTATTCAGCTTTCTCCATGGGAGTAGTGATATTTTATCAAATATATGGCTTTGTTACTCTGGATTGTTTCTGTAAAATGTAAGTCTCGAGACAGAGAAATGCAGCAACCTAGAGATGGATCAACACAGGAAGACACTAGTAAGATATTAAAGGTTAACTTAGAAAATGTGCCATAAAAACAGAGGTATGAACTGGACTGTACAAATGTCACTCAAGATAGTGTTTGTGCTGGGTAAGGGCTGAGTATCCTTAAAGGAGTAAGGAGACAAACATTTGTTTTGTGCCTTTTATACTAGCATGAGCAGAGGATTTCAGAAGCATTTTTTTCTGTTTGAAACATGCGTGTTGAATCTTATAGTTTGTTTTACAGATTATTATCTTTCAGTGTATGTTATCTTTTTCCTTTTTCTTTTCTTTTTTTTTTTTTTTTTAAAGCTTGATTGGAAGTGAACTACAATGGCTGCTCTCATCTCAGATAGTCCTCCAAACCCCAGCTGCAAAATCATGACTTTTAGGCCTTCGATGGATGAATTCAGGGAGTTCAACAAATACTTAGCGTACATGGAATCACAAGGTGCTCATAGGGCTGGAGTTGCAAAGGTAAACATCTATAATGTGGGAGGAAAATTGTTCCTAATACTTGTTTCCCCAGTATTTGTTTTTTGATGATTGTAAAACTGACCTTCTTGGTATTTAATATTCTTTCCAAATGATTTTCAGTGAATAGATACTGATCTGTTACTGTCTTAAGAAAGAGCTATTTGGTATCTCTGATGTTTTATGGAAACTAATGAAGATCATGTATACTGTTTTCTCTCTAACCATTAAATGTTTCCATGTTTACAATAGCAAAAGAGTATCTCTTCTTAAGGTGGATTTAAACTATTTTTTTTGCAAATGAGAGCAAAATAGGGAGTTCACAGTATAAAGTGGAAAGTCCTGATCCACTAGGTGTTGAACTCGGTCTTTTAGGGTGGTGTATATCTTTACTGGAGCAAATAATCGCATTATAGTCAATGGATGTATGCATGAAGATAGCGAGGCATTGTTTGAATGGAAATAATTTTATTTTTAATGATGATAGTGTGATTTTTTTGTTAATGGGAACAGGATGTACACTAACTACCATTGCATTCCCCTTTCAGCAGTAGTATAGCTAGGATCTTTCAGCAGGTGTTCATTCCCTAGTGGAGAGTGATGGTAAGAGATTAAGTCTGATGTAATTTAGTGTTACATCGTGTAAGTATTTGTGCTGTATCTGTTTTGCTACTTTTCAAACCAGTAAGACACAGTGCAGGTCTAGAAATCCTAGTTTAGTTATTCTGAGTAGTCAGTGGGAGTAGCCATGTTCATCACTTGGTTTTTAAGCTAATGTTGCAAAGGCAAGGCATTTAAAAATTGAGAGAAGAGAAAGAAAACTTGGAATTCTTGGTTTGTCCGTGCTCTCTCCCTCCTCTCTGTGTCCTGTAAAACAAAGCAAAACTGAACCCCTCACACTTTGAAAACTTCGTAGCTTATTTGCTTTCTGATTTCTGAGGGTAAAATACATATAGGTCATGTTTTCAAACTCTTCTCCACAAACAAGCATAAAAATGTGATAAATAGACAACAGAGGAAAGCCTGAGCTGAATTTTTCACATATTCAACTATATTATGGAACCTATTTGTCTGTGTGGGGATGAACTAATGCAGTCCTCTCATCTTGAACAGTAAACTTAACAGCAGATTCATCATCGTGACATCTGTTGCTCACCAGATTTCCGTCGTTAACATGCATGTGAGCAGGACGTTCTAGCTGTGTGTTATTCTGTGGATTACGTACATGGACTCAACATTAAAAAAAAATCTTATTTTCTTATTGTTTCTATAAATGGATTTATTTCAACTGTTGGTAGTTTCTAATCATGTTTCATGGGGATCTAGCCAAAGAAGTAGAAAGTGCCTTATAACTTGCCCCTGAGATAATACTGATTTTCTTCTATTTCAATTTATTTATTCATATAAAATGTGTTTGCTTTACTTGGTATGTTGTGTATAAAACAGAGACAGGTATGCATAAATTGTACTCCTTGCTTTCTCTGGCTATATGAGGAAGCTATTATAGGAGCCAGGGTTAGTGTGCAATATGTTGAAAAAATACCCGCAAAACATGAACTAGTTCTGTTTAAAAAGAAGATACGATATTTGTGATATGCTTTTTATCATGACTTTGTCTGTCCTAGAGTGTGACTAATCTTCTCATTCAATAGTATTCAAAAAGAGAAGCTTCTTAATTTAAAAGAAAAAAAAAAGTACCTTATATTTAATTTTCATTTTAAAAACTCTGTATGTATTTACCTCTTTGACAATTCTCAGGAGTTGTATCATCAGATATGATACTATAATCCTTAAAAAGCCTGCGCAAACTTCTGTTTGTATTTCTGAGACATTAATAATAAATCAGAGCTTTAGGGACTCTCCGTCAGTTTTTTTTGTGCTGCTTGTCTTTCTTTTCTGTCAGGGATTGAAGCAGCTGGGGATACTGGTCAGTGGCTTCCTGATACATGATGCTAGGTGCTCCTTTGAAGCTGCTAGGAAATTATATTTTTTTCTAGCTCTTTCATTAGCATTATTAGATCTCATTATCAGATAGTAGAGAATTCTATACCTAAAAAGAAAAAAAGGAATGAAAGCAATAGAACAAACAAGAAACAAGGCACACTGATAGCTTAGTTGCTCTTTGCTTGAATAAGAAGTGTTCTAGAGACTCAAACTGCATCTCTATAGAGTGAAATAGTTAAATTAATTTGCAGTTGCATTGGCAAGTAGAAAATTTTGGAACATGATACTGAAAACAGATATTGGCAAGTACAAGGGAAACAGTTTTCAGAAGAATTGGGGTGGAAGTAGCTACATAGAAATAGTAGCCAATACTGTTCAGAATCGAATGTAGAACAGGAGATTATCAGTGTATGAAAAAGGATTTAACAGAAATTTATGTTTTGATAGCACTCTGAAATAACAGTTATACTAATGTGCAGCTTTCATGGAGGAGACTTGAGTAGTATAACTAAAAGAACCCCTATCTAAACCAGAATATATATCATGATAAGTAATGCTAGACAGTGTTAATATACTTAAGATGATTTTTATATTTATATATATAATATATTTAAAATATACATATATATAAATATAGTTGTATAAATGAGAAAGCTTTGCCTTAGGTTTTTCTGTTTTTATACTTGAGCATCGAACAGCTTGGCTGATGAATTTGATCTAGGTTGCTTCCATGGAAAAAACCTAACTTGCCTGACTTTGAAGACATAATTTTTACTAAAGGGAGTGTGAAGAAGCTTCAGTGGACTAGCTGTGTGTTGTTTTGGACATGATATTTTAACATCTCCAGTCCATTCCTTGACCTTTGTTAGTAAATGCAAATAATTCGGGGCAAGGAGTCTATTTTTATTTTATTTTAAAATGGTGCTTAACATAGAATTCACTTCTTTAACCAGTACTCTAATTACAACAATAATAAAACATGCTCCAGTTAGCTGGAAGGAGATATTTTGAGCCTGCATTCACAGAAATATTTTTATTGTGTAGAACACACTGACCTTGAATTAAATAAGATAATGCAAATTTTGCTTTTCAGTATTCATATATTTGAGCCAAACCTACAAGTTCATGCTTAATAATCAGGAAAATGGAAATCTCTGTGCACATATTTGATTTCTATGCATATATTCTGAATGCATGACTTCTCTGCTTCCAACCCAACATTTTGTTTTTTGTGCATATAATTTAAGATTTGGGTGAAATAAATAAGTAGGAATTACAAGATGATTAGATTATTTTTTTTCTCTAAAAGCAAACAACACTGAAACTTGCTAAGTAGTCCCTGTACAACTGAAGTCCCATGGAAGCTGAGAAGGAAAAAAGGAAAAGAGGGAGGTGCATCCATGCAAATTACCTCGGTATACATCTGTATTATTTTTTAGAATATTTTACTTTCTCAGAGTGATGTAATAGCAAAATCTCTAATGGACAATATTTGTGGAGTCCTGAAATGCTTGTTACAGGAACAGCCTAGCTAGCCTAGTGGAAAGGCTACCTCTAAGATGTGAATTAATTATTGAGGTAACGCAATTTGTGTGTGGTAGATGCATGTTTATGAAAGCCATACTAATTTGTTGTATATTACTTTAAAAGTTTCCAAGCTAGTGCTTGTGAAAATTTGATTGCAGCATCACAGAAAAGAATGAATATAATGTGTGGATCAAAGAACATATCATTGAGCCTTTGGGCAAGTAAAAGTTCAAAATCAAACCAAAAATATATATTAAAAATGTCTGCAGTTGTGTATTGAAACTGTTGCAATTTCAAATCTAGAGCTTTATCTGTTTTCAGATAAAATAATGTATGCCAGGAATGTTCAAAATCGTGCAGCCTGTTAAAGAACACTGGTATGACTATAGGCTTCTTTGATATTCCTGATAACTTTATTGCTAACACTTTAGAATCTACTGAGGAGTTTTCGTAGACTTTGGGCATTTCTGTGGTATTTGAAGTAAAAATCGTAACTTATACAGTTGGTTAATCTGCACATAGCTTTATTCTTTAATTATGAGATTTAAATCATGCTAATATAAAAACTGGTATATCCAAATTAGTGAAAACTTACTGTAATAGAATCATAGAATCATTTTGGTTGGAAAAGACCTTTAAGATAATTGAGTCCAACCGTAAAGACAGAGCTGTGCCCTGCAGTTTTATGGGGAGTAAGTTAGACTCTCAAATCTAAAGATCTCTGAAATATTTTTTTTTTCTTTTTTTTCAGTAAGAGAGTTATTCATACTGTTTACATCAAAGGACTTTTGGACAGGGAATGTAAATCTTTTGTATGAATCGATTTTTTTTTTTTTAATTGAGGATAACAATTTTATATAATGGATTACAAAGTGTTGTTAATTATGAGGCTTTCTTGTTCTAAAATATTTATCTGTTCTGTTATTGTACATTTGTATGTTTGCACAGTTGCACATGATTGAATTGGTGTAGATTAGTGAGTTGCTGCTTGTGAATGCAGGTAATACTATACTCATTTTGAATTGATTTCTGCTTTATCTAGGAGCACTTACATGGCCAGTTAGTTATGGTGAAACAACTGGTAAGCAAGTGTTCATATGATCATGTGGGCATATTTGACTTTTTTTTTTTTTTAATTTTTCCAGGATGTTTTGAATTAGTATTGCAACTACTGATGTCCTGTTTTTTATTTCTGAATTTAAAGGTTATCCCACCAAAGGAGTGGAAGCCAAGGAAACACTATAATGATATTGAAGATATGGTCATTCCTGAAAACAGATGGTCACTGGCCAGTCAGGGCTCTTCACACAGTACAACATCCAAAAAAAGCCAATGACTGTGAAGGAGTTCAAGCAGCTGGCCAACAGTGACAAGTATGTATATGGGAGGTTTTGCTTAGAAAGACAAATATTTATTTGTTCCCATATTGTGATTTCTTTGAATTGTGCTAGGCAGCTGGTTATTTTTTCACTTATTCAGTAGAGGGTTTCCTGTCTCCTAAGTTGTGGAAGGATACCACAATGTGAATCTGGTTTCTGTTTCTGTTGTTGAAAGCATCTGGTATCATGGCAGCAAGAAAGCATCTGAAAAACCTGAGACATGATGCTTTCTGTATACCTTTTTTCCTTTCTGTTCTAGCAGATACTTACATTCAAAATAATGAAGATGATACCTGAGTTTTATTTTGAGTATACTTATTATATGTTTAGTATTTAATTCTTTTTTTTTGGCCTAGATACTGGAATGGCCTATCATCATTTAATTCTGAAAAAAAATCTTAACATCTTTTTTAACTTGCCCAGAAGGTTTTGCATTAATGGAAGAGAACTTAGTTACACCTAGCGAATGTCTATGTTCTGGTTATGGAAATATGGATATTAAGGGAGGGGAAAATACATCTATGAAGGGGTAGGCACTATACTAAAAAGTTTATAACTGTTGGGCATTCCAAGAAGAGGGACGTCATAGAAAGAATTCTTCCACATTCCTTTTGGCCTCATAAAAATAATTAATTCTACTTCAGTATTTCCTCAAACTTGATTGGAAATAGTTTCAGAAGGTAAGTCAGAGGATCCTAGAGAGAAAAGAGATTTGAATATAATGAAGGAAGGTAACACAGCTGTAGTTTGAAGGAAAGTTTCTCTCATAAGTTAATTCAAGAAATTAAGAGGTAGGAAGAAAAGTTGTTATCAAGATCAGGAAAAACTAGGACAGGAAATGCTTTTAACGAGGCTCCTCAACAAACGTTCCATAATAACCATGCCTTTGTAAAAATGCAAAACTGATCTGCTTTTTTTCAATTAAAAAAGATTGGTATGTTTCTGCCCTTACTTTACTTGTGAAAAATTGAGGTTATCACACTTAAATTTTCTTACTTTGGTAAGTGGGAATGGAAACATTATGTAGCTCTTGAAATTATTTATTAAGTAACTGTTAGAGAAGAGAATAAAATATTAAACCCGTATGGTATCTGGTGTTATTTTGTATGATACTTGCTCATATATGTTTAAAGTTTACATTTGATTAACCAATGATAAAATGAGAAACACTAGCTTCTTAAAATGGTTTGATAATGCAAAAATACTGTGAAGGTTTTAATATGTATCATGATGTTAAGTTTATTATATTCTTTATAATGGAAGGTATTTTGGAAGTGTTTCTGATTTCAGTTTTTGTGTTTTTTACTAAAATCAGTTTATGACTTAATTTCATGGGCAAAGTTAAGAACAGCTGGAAGGGCTTCTTATCTATTTTTAGCTGTAGTTCTTTCTAAATACTCATCACTGGTCTTGAGAAAATGTTTCATATAACCTCCTATGACACTCTTTGTGCAGTCTGTATTTCTTAAAATATTAAATAGATGAAGGCCCCTACTCTCCCATAAGAACAATTTTATTCCTTATTGAGGAAGACTTGTCTGTTAAAGGCTCTTTTCTTGAGTTTTGTGATGTTATCCATTTCATTTGGGAAAGAGAGAAAGGCCATGAACATCTAAATTAAATCGTAGTTACCTTCAAAAAATTATGTGTTCTCAATCTAATGCATTTCATCTTTTATTTATTTAGGCGTTCACGGTTCACCGTTTAGCTAAGGTGCTTCTCCACCTTGACCTCTGGGAAATATGGGCATACCTGCATCTCGTAATCAGGATACTAGTGTTAGGGTAACTGAGTTTATGTATCCATATTACTCAGTGCAAAGCAGAAATACAATCTGATTTCTGGAGCCATATCATGAGAAATCATTGAAACAATTCAATTGCTGACAATACTTTGGTTAAGATGTGTTTTGCTAACTTGTTTGCAACTTCATCATGCGTTATTGCATGGTGAAGTTGTACTTGGTCTACTTAATGCTTGTATTCTTGGATTTTCTTTCCAGTAATTCAAATGTAGTAAATTGGCAGTGCTAACGTGGAACTTTACTTCTCAGAGTTTTAGTAATAAAGGGGCAAGTTTCTCTCTAAATGTGGGAGAATAGGGGCCTGACAAAGGATCCTGAGGCAAAAGCTGTTGATGGTTGTTTTCTGTGGTACTGTGATTGTGTTGTGTTCCCACAAGACTTTACATGAGGTTTGAGGTGCCTTCCAAAAGTATATACATAAGGGTAGTTACACATATAAAAATATGCTGCCCTGTGCTGCACTAAAGGAGTAAAAAGAAAAATTCCTTTAAGTGTTTTTTTTATCACTGCATGGTGGAATTCTTGGTATAAACTGTTTGAAACATTACACCTTTTCTGCAAAGGTTTTTCTAGGGAACGAAGAAGAAAAAGTACTGATTTTGCCTGGCAGGGCTGCTACTGGGCAGAATAAGTACATTTGAGTTGTTCTGAGACAGGCTTGTGCGGGACCTACCTCTGTGTCTTTGCAGAGTTAGTAGTGAAGCAGGAAAATAACAAATACTTGTCAATTAAGTGGCTTTTCCATGTGTGTCTTTTGTACGGAAGAGAAACAAAAGGGAGGGCCTCACCCTGAGGATAGTCAGTAGGTGTGCTGTTTAGTTTCTGGAGACTGAAGAAAATGTATGGGTAAGTGTATGACCTCAGTTACTGTAGCTTGCAGATAAGAGGTTACATGCTTTGGTGAATCATGAAACTGAGAATTCAGGACAAGTAATAATTCCTCTATTTCAGAGAATTTGAAAGAAAGTATCTCTTAGAATTCAGTTTGTAGTATCAGAAGTATAGTCCATTGTGAAAGTGGTTGTTGAAAGATTATGCTGAACCTTTGCCTACTTCTTCCTCTGCAGATACTGCACCCCAAGATACATAGATTATGAAGATCTGGAGCGTAAATACTGGAAGAACTTGACTTTTGTGGCACCAATTTATGGAGCAGATATCAATGGGAGCATTTACGATGAAGTATGCATAGCTTTTTATGAAGTTTCTCTCTTCCAGCCCTCCTTTAAAGGGTGCTGTACTTAGAGGATACATTCTTGATTTGTGACTGAGAATCTGTCTTTCTTTTGAAATCTTTGTGTTACTCACTTTAAAGACTGCAAGCAAGCTTGAAATTAACTCTACATCTGCAAGAGTCAGACAGTTCTGTCCTTAGACAGTAGGATATTGCTACTTTTCCTGATCATAAGACTCTTCCCTTTCTTCACTTTGAACTCGGCAGAACTTTGAGATTCCTTCCTATTTATTTATTTGTTTACTAATCTTTCAATATGTGTGTTATCTGTATACCCCTGTGGAAACTTAGTGATTACTTTAAATAACTTTAAAATTAAAAGATTAAGTACTTTATTTCTCTCTCTTTCACTGAGGAAAATTGATAGCTGTACTTTATACATGCTTGGATTGCCCACAGTTTCCTGGAAATGGGTTTACAATTACTGTGTACCTCTGAATTAAAACAGTCAAAATTAAAACTTCCTAAGGAAATGAATTTTGCTGGCTGCTTGCCAAGATCTCCATGGATAAAAAGGAGCTCAACACAGATCTCATTATCCAAAGAATTACAGAATATCCATTGATACCAATTAGGCTATGTAAATAGCTATAGGAACTAGATTTTGAAAGGTTTATTTGAGTAATGAGACTAACAGAATAAATGTTGGCATTTCAAAAGAGACTGATGATTTGAAAAGCACAGGGCCAACTTTTCTCCAAAAGAATTTACCGAGTGTGGAGTTCCTTGAGTTACTTTGTGTTCTATGTAACTACCATCTCCAATCATTCAAAAAAAGGAAAAAAAAAAAAAAAAAAGTAGCATTTTCCTGTGGCAGGTGATCTAAGGCTCTGCTAATGTTTCATATTTCCTCACAGAAGACAAATTACTTGAAGATTCTGTCCAAAGATAAATATGGTCAGCCAAGATGGCTTAGGGCAATTCAATTTTTGCACTAGGTGATGTGATTTTTTAAAAGGTGGTTGTAAATGTCCAGTGGTCTATTGTTTAGAGAAAGCAGCAAGTCCAAATTCTACTGTGTGTCCAAACAGATGTATAAAAATGATTTAGAAAACAATTGAAGGTTCTGATTTGGAGTGTTTTGATGAAGAGACGTTCTCCATTGCTTTGTGAAGACCAAAAGGGCGCACAGCAAAGCAGTCTTTGAAGCAGCTTGCCCTTTTTGTGTTTCTTCTCTGACACTTTTTTGTTTTTTCTTTAATGTTGGCAGATAATGCCTTCTGGTGTAGCTTTTCACAAATGTACACCTTGATTTGATTGTGGGTTTTTTTTGGTTTTTAGTATCTTAAAATTACTGTTGCATGAGCATTTCCAAAGAGAATGCATTAATACCTGATTTTGAAGTGCTCACTGGTCGAAGAGAAGGTCAGAAATTTCCTTCTCATGGAATTGCACTCTCATTAGGTTGGGAGGCTGAGGAAGGGAGGTCAAAAAAGCAGAAGGTGAAGTGAAGAGCAGCATTCAGCAATCTTAACTCACATGTTAGGTGCACAGGGAGAGGAAACAAAGAAAGCACAGAAAGTTACAGGGAGTGAGAAATAAAGGAGTGGGGAAGAAAACAGTAACAGGTAGAACAAAAAAACTTTAATGGCTATGATTAAATGGGTATTATTTAAAAATAGACGAAGTAGAAATATTAGTGAAAGGAATAGACACTGAGGAGGCTGAACAATTAATGTAAGAGCCATGGCATGGTGTACAGCCCAGTGGGATTTAGAGGAAAAGAAGGAAAACCCCCTTGTACCAAACTGTTGGTGTGAAAGTTATGAATGCCACTGACCAAATGTTTTCTCATAGAATATTTTTGCCAAAGTTAATGTTTGGCCAGCAGATGGTGTACTTGCACAACTAATATTTTTCATGTTTTATGCTTGAATATAGTGCTAATAAAGGATCTTTTTGATTCTGTTTAGAATTAGAGGTTTTTCTTATGTCTTCATTCTGTTTGCTTCAGGATTGTTTTTACTTGAGGAAAGTTGATGAATACAGGTAGCTGATGTTTTGGGCAACATACTGCAGAACGGAGATGGTGGGATTAATTTGTCATAACAGCCTATTTGCAATAAACATACCCAAATGCTCACTTCTTACTAAATGCATTTCATAGGAAGCGGTATATTAGGGATGTCGCATTTAATACAGAAAGGTAAATATGTGGCAGAATTCCAGGTAGAAAAACACCAGGAACTTAGTGGAAGTGTAATGTATGTGTGTACTTGGTGCGTCAAAATGATGAGAAATGCTGCTGTGCTGCAAGTTCTTATTTTTTAGTTTAAAAGTTAACCAGTTACATTTTCTTTACCACATGGTGGTGTTCAGTTTTACAGTGAGACATCTGTATCTGAAGTATGATGAAGGCTTAATTTTTACTATATAGATTGTTTAAGAAGAGTATTGTTGCTGGCATTCTGCCAGAGAGATCATAGATCTTGTAATATTGTTTGCTTTTCTCAGATCAGAGGATGACAGATTCTGAGGTGTTTGGAAGATGGGGCATGGTTATAAAGCCTGTGTTATATGGAACAGCAAAAAAAACCCCAAACAAAAATAAAGAACAGGAACAGAGCTATAAATGCACACTTTGAAATTTTACAACTAGCATCCAAAGTTTACCCTTGTGATATTTGGATTATTCCAGAATTTCTATTGTGTATTTATAATGTATTTATGCATATTTGACAGTTTTGAACACAGATTAAATCCTTGTGAATAAGGAAATAACCTATGAGAACAAGTGTTCTGTACACTGTATAGGGCTTTAATAGAAAATAAATTTAAAGTAGCTGAATGTTTGCTTGAAGTATTATTCTGTGCTGTATGCATTTTAATTGCTGTTACATTTAATTACAGTGCTTTGTAAAAGAATGACAATTTGATGACTCTAGAAGAAGTGTTGCACTAAGGAACAGATTGTAAGGATCATAATTTATGTAAAGATTATAAACATTATTGGATACATGTTCAAGGTTCTGTCTTTTTGTTGCTGTAAGGTCATCTGGATTTGAGCAAAAATTAATATTCCTGAAAGAGTTTATAATGTCAATAATAAAGCACCAGGCTCACTAGCTGCAGTTGTTAAACTGGTTCATGAATTGATTATGAACACCTAAGAGTTATGATTGTTTAGGCAATTTAATTGAGAAATTATTATTATTA